TTGGAGTCGCAGAATGTCTGGGCACCCAGCTGACGTCACCATAGATTCTGGTGAGTAAGGGGAATGTGGGAAACCCAATGCCACAAACAACTGCCATTTAGGGGTTAAGACCACCCCCCAAAAATGGTGATTTTGGAGATGGTCTACTACTGGCTTTGCCCCAGCCTTACTTTTTTGCTTCAGCGAGATAGAGTATGGCATGGGTCAGAATTGAAGAGCCAGGGAATCCTTCCGCAGGAAGTATTCGCCAAATGTGCGACACTTGGGCAATTGCGATTAAGCCCAAACTCGAAGGATTCAATAGACAGTACGACTATGACCCAAAGGAGGTATTTTGGACAAGATCATGAATGATGACTATTGATTGTAATCTATTGTAATCAATAACTATGACCCAAATCTGCGATTTTGAAGAAACCCTCCTGCCGACACCGAATTTCGGTGGAGCGAAGCGCTTCGCTGCAGGTAGATGCAAGAGCCGAGTCCATCAGAACGTCGTTCTTGAAGTCGCACATCAAGGAGGGCGCCATGGTCCGTTCTACTGATGGATTTCCCAAGAGAAAACCGATGGATCAGGATGGATCAGGTAGGTTTTGGTGAGTTCTTCGGATGATCTTTTGATATCTTTTGGATCTATAGTGCTTCTTGTTGGATGATGATTTCGGAGTTTGTTGGATTCCTCATGCGGCCATGTGGACGAGGTCCTGATAGGTCCTGGCTCCAAGAGAATTGGTTGAGTCGATGGTTTCTCAATGACTCTCTTTCAGCCTATCCATTGAAACCTTAGTGCCTTAGTGTGGTTGGGGAAACCCATGATATCATGATATCCAAATTTTTAGTGGTTGAATCAGGTTCATTCTCTATTTTTGATGGTTAACACATGTTAATCATGTTATATATGTATATGTATTATATCATATATCACATATCCCTATTTTTCATGGTTAAATCATCTTAATCATGTTAATCATGTCAAAACCCTGCGTATGTTTGATGCTTATGTTTTTTTAAACGACGCCATGACATCGCATCAGGAGCTCTTTGAACAGCTCCCGGCGAATGAGCGGCAAGGCCTCCTTTCCAGCCTACAGGCGATAGGGGTGGCTGTCGTGGCTGTGGTAGCACACAGGTGTCACAGAGGGTGGCCTATGGTACCAGGGATGCTGGTACCCCAATAGCCATGGAAAATCCAGCCTCATTTACGAAACCTCCGGTTTTTCGAAGCATGGGATTTGGGATGACAGTTTCAAAAATTTGGCAGTGGAATAGGGATTGATGTTGTTTGTTGCAGAGCACGACGAAAGCCAGGCTGCCAGAACTCGCCTTGACCATTCTTTGGGAAGTGGGAAATTGTGTGGCTTATCTCGAGGAAAAGTCCCAAGTAGGCACCACAGATTTGTGGATATTTTGACCATATGCTTTGATCATTTTAGTCATTTACCCTGGTAAACTGGTAAACTAACAGTTTGCTGTGGAAAATCACCATGGTGTGTTTCATGGGTAAATCAACCATTTCTATGGCAATTTCCAATAGCCTATGTTCGTTTACCAGAGGGTAACCTTTCCCCCAGCAAAAGCGCGGTGGCTTCGTGGATTCGCCCAGGCGTAGTGAACAAAATCGCTGAGGAGGCGCCTCAGTCAGATGCACGACATGCTGAAGATACCAGCGGTATAGGCCGTGTTTTTCTGCGTTCATAGATGGTTTTTCCATGTTTTTCCATGGGTTTTGCCAGGGTTTTTCCATGTTTTTCCATGGGTTTTGCCAGGGTTTTTCCACAGAATCCATCAGAATCATCAGAATCGCCCCTCCGGTGGATGCCAGGCACTGCCACTCCGCAAAGTCGCGACTGGCTGTGCTGAATTAGGCTATAGATCTAAAGGATAATAGTGAGATTCGGTGGCTTTCATTGCTTTGGATTTGGCAAAACATGTAAACTGATATAAGATGATATAAGATGATATAATTATAAGAATACTTTCCTCTTCTCATCCTGTCTCGCCTTGTAAGAGAGGCAAGTACCCATCATTCAGTCAATCCCAGCCCAAGTGTTCCAAATGTTCCAAGAGTTCCGAGTATCCGCAATGGAAGCCGCTGAGAAGATCCAAATTGTTTTCATTTTTCGGCCCGGATTTTTTCGGCTAATCTTCTCCGCTGTGCCTGTTCTTAACCGGCAGGTGCGGCTCAGCGGCGTGCCCGCAAAGGTGGGTGCTGGCCACAGACGAAACGCGTGGCGTGCGATGCGCTTGCGCTGGGAAAACCAAACCGTCGATTCAAAAGAAGAGCTGCTACATGCTGTTGTTTGGGCACAAACACCTGAACATGTACTTTCCATTTCTTCCATATATTATCATTTATTACACACACATAGCTTTCTAGCTGCCAGAATTCGTGATGGAAGAACGTTCTTGAAAGTTTACCTCTTGTCAGTGGTGCAAAACTGCAAACACACGACTTTTTATGTCCAACCAGGCTTAAGATGCAAGATGATGCAAGTTTGGATGGAAAATATAGAAACAACCAACATCAACCAACACTCATGGCTTGCAAGAGCCGAGTGTAAATTTTCACAGTAATCGTCGATTCATGTCGTTTCAATGGACGGTAAGTCACGGTAAGTCACGGTAAGTCACTCTGGGATGCCCAGGAGATTCACCCACTCTGCTGCCACTGTGATCAGAGTTTCACCCGATCCCGAAAGATCAGGCGATCTGCCCACTTTTTGGGATCATGCCCACTGTCCCTTTTGGATGATCAGAGATCTGCCCTCAACTCATCAGGTGACCTCAATGAATCTTGCCATTTTTGTCTAAGCAACTCATAGCAACTCCCCAAGAACCGATTTACATCTCCGTAAATCTCAATCACATCCCCCAAACATCTCGAACACACATACCATCATAAATAATCAGAAACCATCATACACTATCATGCAAATCATCATCAACAAATCATCTCTTAGCCATCATTTTATAATTCCATCATAGAAACTATCATCAACCATCATAAACCATCATAAACCATCATAGTCATAAACCATCATAAACATCCTAAAAAACATCCTAAAATCCACAAAAAACCATCACAATCCAACCCATAAAAGCCATGGCTGCGCCCTCGCGGCCCAGCACCTGGGCCGCCATGCAGCGGCGCATCGCGCGGAGAGCCGGGCAGGTTCAATGGGATTTCCATCGGGATTTCCATAGGGAAGGGTGGCTTAAATGTGATTTAATGGTGGTTCAATGGGGATTTTCCAGAAGAAATTTCCTTTCGAAAAATTGGAATAGGATTTTGAATGGCGATTGAATGGTGATTTGATGGTGATTGACTGGGTATTGGAGGATCATCTCACGGTTAGTGACGGTTAGTGGCTTATTGATCAGTGGGACGATCCTCCAGACGTATCCTCTGGTTGTTACATAGCTATGGTAGGACGATGGCCCTTGCGATGACTTGCCTGTTAGAAATGATGATTTTACGTAGCTGTGTTGAAGTCCTGGAGGGTAAACCCAATGAACAGAATTTCCCCAGCTATAGTTACCAGTGTTTTTTGGTTGCGGGAAAGAAACCAGTGGGATCTTTAGACCAGTGGGATCTTTAAACCACTAAGCCAATGAACAATTACACATGGTGATTTGTTGGATAATAAATATATGATAATATATGCATATTATATGTAAATATTGGTATTACCATGGTATGACCCCTATTAAGATGATTCATCGCCACAAAAAAAGGTTGGTCAACGGGATGACGGGGTAAAAATCACATTGGTGGGATTAAAAAAAACTAATTCATGGGAAAGCTGTGATTAGCTAAGTTGTTTGAAAATTAGGCTAACTAGGGTTTATAGAGAGCACCAAAGCTAGCGTCAACTAACTGAAGAATCACATGACACTTCACAGTTAAGTACCCCGCTCCCCCATCATTTTTTTTTTTGCAGTTTTGCCGTGGCAGACCTCCCCTGGGATATCGTCGCATATCGTCGGGATCAGCATTATCAGCATCATCAGCATCAGAATTACTGACTTACTCTCCACTTCGCATCTCCCGATTCCTCACACACACGGCTCTTTCACCACACCTTCCTGCTTCTCCCTTTACCTTCCCAACAAGCTTTCGTCCCTTACCCATTGGCCTCAAGTTCAACATGATTGAAAATAGGGAGTTAGACAGAGTTAGCATGATTCAACATGATTTTACTACTGAACAATGGAAACCGACTTGTGGGGTATACCCTCAAAGCATCCCAAACTCAGCAAAATTTCGTGTTTTTCAACCCATACTGTGCGCCCCCCAAGCCTGGTTATACCAGGCTTTGTCCTTAATGGGCCATGGGGGATCTCCCCATATCTCCCATCCTGGAAACTCGGAGGTCTCATCCTTTCAAGAACGACCTCGACTCCTAGCCGCGGCGGAAGACCCTGAGGTCCACTTAAAATCGATGGCAAAATGCTGGGGCACTTGCCATGGGATGTTGGGTGTTTCTGTATTCATCTGGGATCATATAATCATTTGATATCATTTGCGCATGGTCGCACGGTCCATTTTTTGCAGATTTCGCAGGTGCCTAAATGAGATTTGATTGGATCTCACATTTCTTTCAGCCTTTTTGATAGCACAAACATGTCGATGGCTAAATTCCTTTTTGCAAACAGCTATCGCCTTCCTACTAAAATGCAAGTCACAGACTTGTCCGGACAACCACTTTTCTAGTTTGTTAATGGATGTCAACCACCATCCTATCGTGAAATATCCCTTTTGCAACCCACTTAACATCCATTTCTATCTCATTGGATTCATTGGATAAAGGGACAATTGACCATCAAACCATGAGTTTTTACCATCCCTGGGTTTTTACCATCAATCATTTTGGTTCAAGGAAAAGAATTGGATGGTAAAAATCCAAGGTTCAAACTGTAAAAAACATGGGTTTCCTATGGGTTTCCTATGGGCTTCCCATAGATTTTCTCCCCTGAACCTCTCCACGGCCAGCTCCCGGCGGCGGCTTCGCCAGGTCTGGGAGGAGGTCCTGCAAAGCTGGCCCGACGTGGCGCAGAAGCTGCGGCCGGCCTCGCGCTGCGAAGTGGAGTGTAGCGATGTGCCCAGCCTGGAGGTGGTGGGTGGGAAATTTGGGGGGCAACAGGGACCCCAATAGCTGGATGGTTTATAGTGTAATACAATGTAATACATCCTATCTCCACTCCCATCTCCCAGGAATTATGGATCAAACCCTTGGTACCCGGATGGTACTAGGATTAATGGATGATTCCACCAAATAGATGGTACCCTCTGGTAATTTGTTACATAGCTATGGAAAATCAACACCATTTTTAATGGGAAAATTCACTATAAATGGCAATTTTCAATAGCTATGTTAAATTACCAGAGGGTAATACAATGTAATACATCCTATGATTTTGGGGGTGTTCCCCAATTTAGGACGCTTATGGACACCTCCAATTGCAAAATGAGCAACCGACAAAATTCTAGTTTATAATACTAATTTAGTTTTGCTTCGCCTTGGCCTTGCTGAGGAGGTAAGACATTCATTTCTGATAGGGCGGTGAATCCACGCTGGCTTGTTGCGGTCAGATCTGGACGTGCCCACGTTTTCTCTTAATTACCATACAATGGCGCATTACCTTCCTCAACATTATCCGGAAAAACATCATCATCTTCCACATTGTCCACAGAATTCTGAACATCATCCACAGAATTCTGAACGTCATCCGCAGAATTCTGAACATCATCCACAGAATTCTGAACATCATACACAGAACTGAACATCCTCATCCTCATCCTCATCCTCATCCTCATCCTCCTCCTCCTCCTCATCCTCATCCTCATCCTCATCCTCATCCTCATCCTCATCCTCCTCCTCCTCCTCCTCCTCATCCTCATCCTCCTCCTCCTCATCACCACCACCACCACCACCACCACCACCACTACCAGCACCAGCACCAGCACCAGCACCAGCACCAGCATCAGCATCAGCATCATCATCATCATCATCATCATCATCATCATCATCATCATCATCATCATCACCATCACCATCGTCATCGTCATCGTCATCGTCATCATCATCGTCATCGTCATCGTCATCGTCCTCTCCATCGTCCTCGTCCTCGTCCTCGTCATCATCATCATCATCATCATCGTCGTCGTCCTCGTCATCGTCCTCGTCATCGTCATCGTCATCATCATCATCATCATCATCATCGTCATCATCATCATCGTCATCGTCATCGTCATCCTCGTCATCCTCGTCATCCTCAACCCCATTTTTTTGGGTCTCTTGCGGGTGTAATTTGTTGAAACCGAGATGTTTGACCCACCTCACCAATCTGCTGACGCTCAAGGAGTTTGACCAAGTTTTCACCAATTTCCAACGGTCCAAAGCAACAGTTGACCTATTTTGACGCGGAACGAAACCATGGATTTTTGGGCCTTCTACCTCCTCGAAAACACCACTGACAAAAAAAAACTTGGCCCCAACGTTTTCTTTTGGAGAACAACTTGACCCCTGGCCATGGCCCAATGGCAGGAGCTGCTGCCGTGGATTCGGGAGGCCTTAGGCAGCAACTTTGTGGCGGAGAACTTCCATCAGCTGATGCCGGTTGCCAAGGTGAAGCAGGTGCCGTGGCCCTGGGGCCCTGGGGTCCTGGGGCCCTGTTGGTCCCTGGGGTCCTGGGATGGGTGGGGCCCGGGGTTGGGTCCTTCGGGTTGGGGGTTGGGGTTCTGAATCTTCTGGAGGATAAATGAAGATTATATTATATTATATTATATTATATTATATAATACAATATATATATATATAATGTATATGATCTTAACCATCATTAACCATCATTAATCTTGGAAGAAGCATCTTCGAAAGTCATCGGTTTTGGAGGTTCCATTTCAGTTTTGACAACCTTTGGACGGCGGACGGTTGATGAGGGGAACATGCTGTAGGAGTTCTGAACATACAAATATGCAGAGGGCAAACGCCACTCAATCCCAGAGCAGAACACAAACCACCAGAAAATGTTTGGCTCCCTCATTCGAACTGTGATGATGATACTATAAGTAACTACAACGATATTGATGAATAAGAACATAGACATGATAATCTCTCTCTCTCTATATACATATAATACTTACAAATGCTTAAAACTTATATTAACAATTCATAACGAACATGACAAGAAGATAGTGAAAACTGACATTCTTTCTCGACCTGAGAGGTTCCCAGAGACGTGAGGTGCCGGTCCGGTCCGGTCCGGTCGGCTGTGACCAACTGGGTTATGACGAGTCGTCACTGGAGACCCTCTGACGAGTCATACGGGTTTGCCATGGACAATTGCCCCATATTGCCCCTTTTTAGATGATTTCCCTATCAGAATTATTCAGAATCTATAAGGCATGGTCTCAATGGCTATGTTAGATTGCCAGAGGCTAGTTTGAGAACAACGTAGAGTGAAACAGCGATCCGATCAAGCAGGAAAACTACAGAACACCAACGACATGACTATGCTAGTTGGTGGTTTCAACTATTTTCAGTTTTCCATCAGTAGTTATATAAGATGGATATTAAGTGTACCATAATTTGCGTATAAAGAGAACATCAAACTCCCGAAAAGATCCTAGCCTAGCGCGTTGTTGCATGCTTCGGTCACGTTGTCCCTTGATGTGTAGCATTTTGACTCAGAAATATTGAAGGCAGCAAACTTTCTTTCACGATACCCTTTTCCAAGCAAGGCAACTTGCAGCAATCAGAAGTTTTTTTCCAATGCCTTCCTTAATTTCTCCACTTTCATTTGGCCACTGTCCAGAACAACGATTTCTGACAGACCAGATTGTGCATGGACTCTGATACTAATTTGAAACTCATTGGTTTGTCTCCTCGTGGCCTATGGGCGTGTACTTCATTTTGGGTGTAGAGTACCAAGAATGTGCCTTCGGCACAAGCTACCACCAGGCCTATCGGAACGAAGACACCACCACGTCCGGTTACCTGAAAAACTATGAGTGAGACAGGTGGAATCATGTTGAAAAGGGCAGAACAACGGATAGTTGAGTCCAGTGAGCTGCTGGTATGGTGGTTGGGATTTTTACGTGTCGCTTGACCAGATTTTTCCACAACCTTTTGCCTCGAATCTTGTGAGGCCTGCAGTTGACCGGCCCAAAAAGCCTTCGGTCTGCAGCCCAGGGTGATCCTCTGCTGCAGTCTACAGGGTCTTGGGATGTCTTCTTGAGAGCTGCAGGCAAAATCTGGATAAGTTGATGGCATCCCTCCAGGTTTGGGTGGGCCAATGGCACTGCCCTGCGTCCCAGTTTTTTTTAACTGCAAGGGTAATTAGTTTGGAGATGTCTGGATTATAGAATTGACGATTCACTTATCTGCTTTTAAGAGGAAGACATGTGTTTTATATTGTTTTATAATGTTTGGCACAGGCAGTCGATCAATATTGAATCAACGAAAGTTTTGCGGCAGCCAACCGCATGACCCATGATACCCACGTTCCTGTCAAATTGTTTGGTATATTTCGTAAAATCCCCAAAGATAGAATCAGATAGAGAAAGTAAAATCCTACTGCAATAGTGTGCAATTACTTATCTATCTTTTTGGGTGTTACTATATACCAACCACATTTTGGCACTAGCAGTTTCCAGCTACGTGACTTCTGGCGCGCGGCAGGGTGGCCAAGACCATCGCATGGGACTCAGGTGGCTTTTTTGAGATGGTGAAATGGGGCGAAACCTCAGGCGATCTTCTCAGTCACCCCATGTCACCCCTATTTCAGGGTGAGGCAATGACTTATGGTCACTTTGTTTCGGGGTGACGGGGTGAGGCAATGGATCTTATGGTCACTTTTCCTTAAACGACACTGCTGAGGAAACATCTCGCATGTCTGAGGCAATGGCGATTTAGCGGGCATCGACCGGCAGCCCAGGAGTGATGTTGCCATGGATCGAGTGATGTCAAATGGCGTCCATCCATAAAATTCCATGGTGGGCATCCGGCCGTATCCCCATGTAGCAGCTACATGTGATGTTACCATCTGGTTATGACTAACATAGCCATGGAAAATCACCATGCTATTAATAGCTAAACCATCTATTTCTATGGGCCATCTATACCATGGCTATGTTAAATAACCAGATGGTAAATACCATGCTGGTTGGTGGTTTGGAACATGTTTTACTTTCCATTTCATATATGGGATGTCATCCTTCCCATTGACGAACTCCATCATTTTTCAAGATGGGCACATTGCTCCACCAACCAGTTATATATTATTAACCATCATGAACTATATAATAACCATATATAACCATATATTAACCATTATTAACAGTATATTAAGTCCTGCATGGTGGATTTGTTCCAAATCGCTTTAGCCATTCAAATTGCAGGACTTTGGCGAGGCAGCACTATGACCTCAACGGGGACCCAACGGTGGCCGCTGATGAGCCTGGATCCACATGGATACGACCGGGGCAAGCAGGCGGATTCGTGAAAAACTATAGGTGTTTATAGGGTGTGGATAGGTGTTTTTGAGGTGTTTTTCATGTTTTTTTTGAAGGTGTTTATAGGTGTTTATAGGTTACTAATGTCTATTACGACTAGATTATTGATGATGATTGGTATGGGAATCGAGGTGTTGATGTTCAACAGGTCTGGGATTACTAGGATTTCATTCTACATATATAGCAGTATAGCAGGCAAATATTGCGCACTCAACTGATTTGGCCTTGGCCTGCCTTGGCCAAAAGGTTGTGCCGGCGACTGGCGAGGCCTTGGGATGGGCCACACCGAGGTTTACTCTGGCCACGCGCAAAGCTGAGAGGCGACTGCATGGGCGGAAGCTCGCGCAATCCGAGAGGCCCTTGCTGCAGTGGCTTGATGTGACTTTTTCGACCAGAAGTCCTTACAACTTACTGGTACCCTCTGGTTATTTAACATAGCTATGGAAAATCCCCATTTTTAATGGGAAATCCACTATAAATCACCATTTTCAATAGCTATGTTAAATTACCAGAGGGTAGAGATTTTGGAAGGCGATTGAGGGTGCAATTTTTTTAACCATGCTTGCGCTCCCCATGATCCTGCCAGGAAATTTCTCAGTTACTAGTTCATGATTCTGCCGTGAAGAAACCAGGATTTTCAGCTGCTTACTGGATTGTAATTAGAGAATCAGAATATCAAGTTTCGGAAACATAGCAATGAACTGAAAGAATGGAGATCAGGGGTTGATCGAAAAGTTTCTGACATCTTGATGGGCTTGCGATGATTCTTCATCAATGAAACATCACCATAATATAATGTTTATATGTTTGTCATTTTAACTCTATGCTACTTGCTTGCCATTTTGGTTTGTATCCCCCATTTGTCTCAACAAAGCGAAAACTGCTGGTTGATGGTCAAATCAAATCCATGGTTCAATCCGACAGCTGACTTGCATGTTGATATTCATTGATATTCCCAAATCATCAGAAATTGGTTAATTCATGTTAATTTCCTCCATCTCGTGGTGATTTTATCCCTCACTTTCAAATCCCAATCTTGATGAAATCCTCACGTTTCCAAGGGTGAATCCCCATAGAAAAACCCAAAATCAGAATCAACAGACTTAAATCATCCACATAGATATATGAAACCATCAACTTTGTGCCATGGCCAAACAATGGATTATTATTGTCATAAATCATACTTAGTTATATTATATAATGTTATATAGTTGTATGATGTTGTATGAGATTAGTCTCCAATTCTCAGTTATATAGTTATAATATAATATACTTATATAATATATAATTTGTCTAACTAGCATAGAAATCGCCATGAATCACCCATCCCAGGGCTGGTGAGTACCTCGCAGAGTTGCAGTCACCTCGGAGGTACCCATGGACTAGGGGATTTTTCCCGGGCAATTTATAATTTGACACAAAAAGCAATGGAAAATCACCATGTTCAATACTGAATCATGATATTCATGATATTCATGATATTCATGATATTCATGATATTCATGATATTAATGATTAGTCCTGGAAAAAAAAAACGATGACTTTTTTTTTGGATTCTGTTTTCAGCAACACGATGGACCCAGATTGGTTCGTTTTTAGGTCACAACGGATGACTCAACACTGGCGATTCTGGTCGGATTTCACGAACACCAGATTGATAGATTGGATTTACCCTCTGGTTATTTAACATAGCCATGGTATAGATGGCCCATAGAAATAGATGGTTTACCTGGGTTTACCTATTAAAAATGGTGATTTTCCATGGCTATGTTAGTCATAACCAGATGGTAACCACCAAAATATGCTTGCTTAATCAGCACAAGGGCCGGATAGAGCAGAAATGAGCAATGTGGACATGCCATGTCTTCCTCCTCCAAACCCTTCTTGCCATCACCACAGCAGTTTATCCCATGTTTGATGTGGGCGGAGTGCCATCACCTACCCTACACAAAAAGTATGGGTGTGTTTTTGCCGCGCCTGATTCCTAGCGGTATACCTATCATTTGTCGTATAATCATATAGATGAATACTTACATGTATGTATAGGCCCAAGACCACATGTGTGTGTGTATGTATCTACATCACTGATTGTTCTACTCAAATCTACTCAAGTTTTGGAACAAATACACACAGACCGATCATTGTCTATGTCTAGCCCTATCTATCAATGGGAATTTCAGGATCCTAAAATGGAGGTACTGTACCATATAAGACCATATTTTGTTGGGATATTCCCATTGATATTTATATATTTATTCCGTCTCCATACCGGATAAAATCAGCACCGGTGCTCTGCTCCGAAGCGGCCAGGAAACACTACCTTCGGGAAGCTTCCGAGGCATCGCTGTGAGTCCTCAGAAACCATGCTTTAGGAGGCGATAAAAACACATATTTGAGACCATGCAATGGGGTATTTGATATTAGGGGGTAGGATTAGACTAATTAAGTTGAACATGTTTCTATGGAATGCTCTTTTCTTGTAGTTGTGTAGCCTAAAACCAAGATGTATTTCCTTTTTGTAGGTCATTGAAGATGCTTTGGGTTCACCCAAAATTTGGCTCAAGCTCGCTCTTATCTTGTCCTGCCACATTTCGCATCGACAGCCTCATTTTCTTCAGCATGGCTCTCCCAATGAAGAAGTCCGTGATGAAGTCTGCGATGAAGTCAATGAAAAAGGCGGCGAAGCCAACATCAAGGCGGCGAAGACCGTGATGAAGAAGAAGGCAGTTAGATCAGTTAGCAAGATTGCGCGCGGCAACCGAGCAAAGATTGCTGTCTTCAAAGGCAAGAAGCCATGAGGTCTTCATCAGGGCATTCTCGATCCGACCTCATGAAGACCAGGGCCGCATTGTGAGCAAAGCACAGCCAACATCTCTGCTTGGAGGCCGAGCAGAAGGTCAGGAAGGAATTGGGCATCAAGGGATTCTGTGAATGGGAAAACTGCTCAGGGCAAGGCACTTTATGTCAAGGCAAAGGCCATCTTCTCTGCCCCTTAGAGCGATATGCCCTGATTGGCACGTGCAGGGTGGGCTTTCGTGGTAGTTCACGGAGCTCTCCTGCCCTGCCATTTTGAGATCTCAGCAGATGCTGAGATATTGACCTGCCAAGATTCACTTGCCGCTTCGAGGCCCAAAAAACGATGCCTGCGGCTATGCAACATGGAAATTGAAGATCACCCACTTGCAAAGATGATGACCCATAGATGATGATCCTAGTGAAACTGGGGGATTCTCTTGTTTGCTCACAAGGTAAACCAAATTTTACCATGGTAAACCATTCGTTTTCATCCCGACTAGGCGGAGGAGGTTAGAAGTCATCTGCTGGAACGGCTGGAGATCTCAGAGATGTTGTATGATGATCCCCAAATGCCAGAAAAACCCTGCAAGTTTTTGTCGATGACATTGGTATAAATAAGCAAAGACACACAATCACACACACACAAATTTTGTATAGATGTATCATCATAGACTATTGAATACAAGCTATATATATATATTATATATATATAGTTGTGCAGAATACAGGCTATATTATATACCTCCTCACACGGGGCATGACTCGTGGGTTACGTTGGACTCCCCAACTTCTGGAAGATATTGCAACAACATAAAATAGTCAGCCAAGCTGGCAGACGTTCCGTTTCATGGCACTTTGGCCCCAAAATTGGAAGGTTCAGTGAAACAAGTACTAAAAATGACCAAACTTGTGTGGTTCTGCAGCACAGTTCCAGGTTGGACTACCTACACACCTGCCGTGGGAGCATGGGTGAAAGCCTCTATGCTAGAGACCCAGTTGGTTAAGACGAAAGCTGGGTTCAAAAAAGGGCGCTTTTTTTGGCCCAGTTGGCCTGTGGCTCCAGGAATTTGGGCCCTGACTTGGAGTTGCAACTTTTACCCTCTGGTTATGACTAACATAGCCATGGTATAGATGGCCCATTTATAGATGATTTTCCCATTAATACCTCCATTTATACGGGATTTTCCATGGCTATGTTAAATAACCAGATGGTTTCTGTTGGGATTTTGCGGATTATCCAATCCCACGTCCGAGGCACGACAGCGTCAGCGTCGGGAGCTCTGGGTTGAACTCTTTTTTTATCCCCAGAGAAGCTGTGGATTTAGGCGTCAAAAAAAGGTCGGGCATCGCGACATCACCAAAATTCATTGGTTTCCCCTTCAAACTGATCAAACTTGCAAGAGTAGATACTAGATAATGGATGATAATGATTAATCACCCAAATTCATTGCTTTCCCCCCCAAATGGTGCCATTTTTGGAGTCACATTTTTTTTCCTGAAGACATCTGGATTCTGGATGTGTCCTTCAAGGCCCCAGCGAGCCGCTCTCCAGGTCTCGAGATGCAAGCCCATTTGCGGACTGCGCAGAAGTACAGCTTGCAGGATGTGCACCGACGTGCACCGACGTGCACCGATGTGTGACTTGCGTTTTTTTTTCTTCCAGATTTCACCATGGCACTGCACCATGGATTAATCCATCAAACATGGGGATGTCATTAAATTGATTAAATTATTTAAGCACTAAGGAAGTGAAGAATGATTCAGAATGATCATAAATCATTTGGGTATGTGGATAGATAATGATAAATATGCAATAGAATACCTATGATTTTCCCATCTAGATGCAGATGGATGACTACCAGCATCTACCAGCCATTTTCAGATTGCAGGAGAAGCCTCCTGAAGCGCGCTGCGCGTACAGCGCGCAAGTGCGTTGGGGATGCCCATGAGGGGTGGGTCCGACCAGCCTGGCACATGATCAAACTTGCAGCTAGCCTTGAAGCTGGTACTTGAGGCTCATATGAGCCATGGTCAATACTCACTATATGGTTGATGGTCATCCCATCCATGATAAGGATCCTTATAATGGTTATTATAAATCCCTATGAACCATTGGATGACTAGCCCCTATTAATGGTTATTAACCATGAGTATTGACCATAGCTCATATGACTCATATGGTTTATCTTCAAAAGGGCAGAGTAACTTCGTGGTGCAGCACCGACGGTCCCCGCAGAGTTTGGTTCCAGAATTTGGGGAGTGCCTGTGGGGATGACCGTCAGTGGATAGAGGTGCCTGGGAAGTCTGTGATCCAGGCTGCTTGAGAAATAGGTCTTTTGTTTGAGCCTTTACCAGTGATTGGTAGGTGATGCACTGGAAACAATTATACACGGATGTTTTATGTTGTTTTGGGGAAATACATGGAAAACATATGGGTTCGAACACAATGGAGAATCCTCACCATCAAATACAACAACCTTCATCCTGCTTCTGTTGGAAAAAAAACAAGTTGAACACGATGAACACTTTCTGAAGCTGCAAAATATGTTGCGATTGCCTCGAACATGAGATGCATACATCAAAGTCGCGTGGTCTATCATCCTGTTCCCCGTGACACCATCATTTTACATCAAATCTTTATTATCAAGTGTTCACCTTAAAAAGGACCATTTTACATATAATCTTTACTAGTTTCCCCATTAAAAAACGAGCCGTTTTGCATACAATCTCTAGAAGCTTCTCCATAAAAATGAGCCATTTTGCATAATAACACCTCTATACATTTCTCATCATTTCTCCATTTAAAAGAGCAATGTTGCACAACATCTCTATAAGTTCCCCATTTAAACGAGCCATTTGGCGAAAAAAAAATTATGAGTTTTCCATTAAAAGGGCCATTTTAATCCATTTTACATCGTTTTAGATCCATTTAGATCCTAACTAAATTGGATTTTTGGATTGGTTTTAGGGATTTTTAGGGCATACCATGGCATATTGGACCGCCTTTCCTACTGCTCCCCTCTCAACATCAGGCCGTTGGGCCGGGGGCCGGTGTTTTTTTTTCCCCGGTGGAGACACGATGCGGAGGTTATCGCCACTTGGGACATGCGGAGACTGCCATGGCTGTGGCCAATGGGGGATACCCCAAATTGACCATAGGATTTGGATGGAAAATGATGTTCGAAACCATTCTTTTGGACTATTTTAAGGGATGATGTCAGACTGGATTTTTTTTTGATGGGATTTTTCTGTCCTTTTATTCATGGGAACATGAGAATAACCGTGAATAACCCATTGGATGCTGATTTTCAGAGCCAATTTGGGCCAACCATCCAAAGATGTGGAGGGTGACCGTTGTTTCTAGGGTTGAACCACCACACATGGAGGTTTCCTATATAAAATGGGGGTACCCCTAAATCATCCATTTTCATAGGATTATTCATTATAAACCAACCATTTTGAGGATCCCCCATTTATGGACATATGATATGATGATATTTGGGTTAACCAACTCGTTGTCTACTTTTTTCACACGGAATCTTTTGCCATAAATGGGAACTGTCCAACAAGAGACTGTCCGACAAGAGACCGTGCTATAAATGGGAATATGCACTCACCAGCAAAAAAAATATGCTGCAGGGTATCTACCTTATATAATCTTATATATATTATATATATATATATGGGCATATGAATACATATATATATATATAATAATTATATAGACATATAGATACATATGCACTAGTATGTATACATGCATATGTATATATGTTTATATATGTATTCTTATGAATGTATGTGTGTACTACAAGGACCTATCGGACCACAGAGGACTTCATTGACCCATGGGACCGCACTGGTAAGGGGTCATCCTAAGTTTCTGAAGGGACAATGCCTTAGACATGGATATATTTCAAGTTTTTTTCCAGGTTCAATTACCAGAGGGCAGTGTTGGTACAGCATAAGTGTCCAACATTGGCCGACCACTTTTGTATCAAAGTATTTTGATCCATACCAATGAAGAGTCTTATATTATCTTGTTTACCCACTGGAATCATTGATACAGTATATATTGTTATATATTGTTTACCCAATATATAATGTATATAATATATAGATAAAACAATGTTATAACAATGTTTACCCAATATATTGTTATATATGAAGAGCGTTTTTTTTTTCCCCCGTGGAATCATTATCATTTACCGAAGAATTTTCCCAATGGATTGGTCGCTTGACATATCTCAAAACCCGTCCCAGGTGGGGAACGCCTTGGAAATCCCATGGGAAACACATTTTCGATGGACACAACATGGGAACACAGGTGAAAAATGGTGAAAAATAAAGATCGACACCAAGCGAAAGGGCACATTTTCGAAGCCGGAATCCCATTTTTGTGGCATTCCAATTTTGATTGAGACATCACCATCTGAACTACTTGCTCCTCATTTTTGTTGATCGAATCCTGACTACCCTACATATTTGGGCGACATTTCCGAAAGCATGGCACCATTTCTTCAAGCGGTTTCGATTGGGCGACAATTCCTGAACGAAGACAAGACTTCAGGTCGCCCTATACTCATTTCACATATGGACCATGGACCATCAACGTTTTTAATAGACAATCTACAGTAACCCAATATGAATCTTTTATAGATGTGATATATATATATATATTTAAATAGTAACCTAATAGATTTTCACGATCTTTCAATTTGGGCCACTTTCCATAGCTATGTTGAGATAGTACCAGATGCGAATTCGAAGTTGACTTCTTGGAAACCAGCACCCCTTGAGCGACATCATAAACCCCGTGCATTGAGAGGATATTTGGGATGATCCAAGCACCCGAGTTATTTGAAATGATGATCATCCCACAAATATACTCATATATATATATATTGTATTGTATTAATATGTTTCCTATTAATCATATTAATCCCTTCCCCTTATTAAACACCCCCTAGAAACCATATGGTTTCCATGGTTTAGTAGGGTGATTGGATTGGTTTAAGGGACAATTTACAGGAAACCAGAGTTATTTTCCCATTAAATATGGGGCTTAAACCTGTAGATTTTCCCTTAAACCAATCCATGGTTTAGGGAATTTCCCACAAAAAATGGAACCCTTCGTCATCCCAGGAAACTCCGGAGGGCCACGACGAAAGAAGTTGCGTTGGAGCAAGTGGCGAAGGTGAAGAAGGCACTGACTGAGGGCCACGATCTCCCCGGATGGGAAAGCCATGGATGAAAGCCATGAAAGTCATCTGAACATGATTACCCTCTGGTAATGACTAACATAGCTATTGAACATGGCCATAGAAATAGTGGATTATCCCATTAAAAATGGTGATGTTCCATAGTTATGTTAGTTACCAGAGGGTATATAAAAGAGTCTGGATACTGCAAAAGCCCCCAGTGTGATGCTACCAACCTGCGCATGGACCGGAGGCCTTCGCATCTCCGCTGCTACCGTCGGCCTTCCAACAACTGCATGCGGAGACCGGGGTGGAACGAGCGAGGCGTAGACAGGGTCGTTGTAGCTGGAAAGGGATGCCTCTGTGAGCTTGGGATAAATGATGATATTCTATGAATGACTTGCTGAGTAGTTGCACTGGTGCCAAATTGCCGAGAAATCATGTTCAGGAGTCAAGTCAAGAAAAACTCAAATGGGCATGGTGTATACCCCCAAGTTATGGCTATTTTTCATAGAGAAACTGAGGATACACCGGTGGAGTTGGATTTTTCCCCAACATTTCAGAACCGAAATGACAGGACAGGGATTTGGATGTGCCCTGCGTGCCCTTGGCCACAGGAAGAGACAGCACTTGGGCAACAAAGCCTGGTTCAATCTGCTGATTGGAGCCTCTGGGCAGAAGCTATCAGGATTGACCAGTTGGTTGATTATTATAAGATTAATATGGATTAATATGGATTAATCAATAGTCCATGATCTGGTATATCAGGAGGGTTCATGATCTGGTATCATCCATAATCTGATGATATCAACCTATTGATTATAGGATTAATCTACAGGCCTACCCTTTATATAATGGATTGAAGGAGGATCATCATCCACAGGCTGGTTTTTTCCCAGTGATTGGACCAAGCATCATGGATCATGGATCGGTGGATGTGCCACATTCCTTGTGTTTCTTAGGTCATGCTGTGTGTCAATACCATCGTTATTGGCATCGAGACCGACTACTCCAGGGGTCGAAAGTTGGAGGAGCCGGTGATGGGAGGAGTACAAATGGTGGCTTTTCCACATCTATGTTAGTTTGCAGGAGTTAGTTTACAGGAGGGTATTAAACTATTCACGATTTGCGACCCTAGACCGATGGGGATTGGCGGGTTTGTGGTATGAACCATCCACTTGAATGTGGGGGCCCTCACGTTTTGACCAGACCGATTTGAGGCATCTTATGATATGTTATGCCTAGGATTAGCCATTCACAGCGGATGATTGAATGGCCCATTGTTGCTCGCATTCCCGGTGGTTTCGACACCCACAGGAGGGGCTGCTGCTACTAGTGGGTTCACTTTGTTTTGATGGTCCGCTCAACTACTGTTCCCTCAAAATCAATGACGGCCCCAAAAAACCCATGGAGTTTTCTGCCTGTGTTTTCCGGGATTTCCCATATGGATTTTTTAGTGACGGTGATTTTTTGAGCAACTCTGCCGGGAGATTTTTGGACACGTTTTTTTATCGTTTGTCATCAGGGATTTCCAAAGCTGGGTCCTGGGTCCCACCAGGATCGCCTGGTATTCTTTATCATCGAGACCCTCTTCGCAGTGACATTCTTTAGCGAGGTCATTGTGAGGTGCGCTGGGTTCCGACCGTTCTGGGTTCCGAACGTGCTGCGGTGCCGAAAAAATGTTTTTTCAGACTTGATACACCAATCTGTTGTTGATAGATACTGGTGCAGATTTATAGATCAACTATCTGACTATCTATATTCTTTTGATAAAAACAATATATATATATATTATATATATACACCTTTTTTATTGATGCACCGATAGACCATAATAGACCTAACTTTGGATGCATCAAACTCTGGCTACGTCAGGATGCATCACCATGGCTGGGAATATGCTATCGATCCGTGGAATATTTTCGACTACTGCCTGGTGGTGCCTTGGAAACAAGGGGCTGATCCCTGCAGCCGCGGTGTCCGGCGGTTACTGTACTTTTTTCCCAGTAAATGAACATAGTTATGCTATAGATCGATATAGATCGCCCATTTAGGTCGATGATCTCAGCAAAGAAGCTTTGGCAGCTATTGTAGATTCCAGTGACGAAGACAACGAAGATTGATGTGAGACAACACCAATGTGCAACTTTGGACTGAAAAAGTGACTGAAAGCTTGATATTACAATTTATTGAGGATATTGACAAAAACATGTTTTTCAAAGCCTTCCCCTCATAATCAAATCAAGATCTTCAAAATTCAAAGTCGATAAAATCATTTTGTATTTGTAAGGCTTAGAATCGAATACCGAAGCTTTCCCTGAACCATCGAATCAAAAAGTTTAAGTATGTTTAAGTGGTTTCAGGCGAGACCCCCTTCCCGTGGAAAGACTGTTCCGATTCTTCGGACTCGAAAATTTGAGGGTGGACCCTGAGAAGACGATGCTTCCTCTGCTCCCGAAAACCCTCGAAGTCCGACCGGAACCAGCTGACTGGAAAAAGAACCAACCGTCTTGGACCGACATGTTGGACGAAGATGCAGACTACCAGATCATGCTGGCCGAGTCGCTCTATGGCGATGTTTACAAACAATTGTTGCAAGGCCTTCCCCACGGCCCTGATCTCGTGCTACGGTCACGGCAGGGTGTGTGCCATTGAGCTCCTGGTGAAGCCATCGACCAACTGAGATGTCAGTCCTCCGAGCTGCATGAGCAGGTGGAGGAGAGAGCCAAAGAGGCGAGAAAGCTGCAGGATGCAGTCAGAGACCTTGTGAGAAGACTGAGCGAGGCGAGGGTGGATTAGAGTTATCAAAAAACATCTCGAAGAATCCGGGGTTACAAATTTTAGCTGACCCTCGTGGCCATTTTGGCTCAAGGTAAACGATATAGGCTCTTGCTGCTAAGTTAGTGAAGAGATCTATGGGCAAAATGCTATATGCAAAAGACGAACGTATTTCTTTCTTTGGGTTTAGGCTGAAAGAAAGGTCGCAGGTTCAACCCTCAGTGCACCCTCCAGTAAATTAACATAGCTATATGGCATAGATCCCTTATTTAGGCAGATGATTTAGCTATGACAGACTGTTATATTCTATGGTTATCTTAGTTTTCCAGACGGTATTACTGTTACTATTTTTATTATTTCAGATCTGTAACCCATGGGATTGTTATTGCAAATTATCACATTGTTTTCCATATGTACCATGATCATTTTTTTAAAAGGGCAATTCCCACATTAATCCCTCCTAGTATCTTGAGTATTAGAGGATATTGAAAGTATCAGGGTGAGAAATTTCCTCTTAATAATTTCGCAATAAAAGAACTGATTTCTTTCCGTTTCCAGATCGATCAACCCCCTTCCAAAATCCGTAAAAATATTGCTGAGAATTGGTTTTCGATTTTGTCTTTAAAAACAAATCAAAACCTTAGTGTGCTTTCCATTTCAAAATCGATCAAATCCCTTAACTTAAATCTATTATATAACAACTGCAAAAAAATCGTGCCAAAAATTGGATGGCAAAATTTTCCCCTTTAATAATCAAACTGACACCTTAGTAGAAAAACAAAACAATCGACCCCAAACAACTGTAGTCTTTTATTGTTAAGGAGTGACACCATCAAATGGGATCTTGAATGTAAACTTGTTTTTAAACGAGATCAACAACAATCAAATTGATCAACTTGAAGTTTCCCAAGATAACATTGCCTAATTGTTATTATTCAGGGAAGGTCTAGCAAAGGGAAGAAGGGATTACAAGGGGTTCATGTACCATTTTCAAAAATTCCATCTTCATATGGGTGTACCTCGAAATCCAATATTTTATTACCATCATATCCATCATTTTTTCCCATGAAACGTGCAATTTGATGGGTATACCGTATACCATATTTTCGGACACGTTTATATACATTTTTTCCATGGCATGCATATTATTCATTCTGTTCATAGTTTTCCACAGTTGTTCCATATTTTTTTATGGCGCCAATATGGATTCTAGTCATAGTGTTCAGTGTTCCACAGTTGTTCCATTTTTTTCCCATATGATTGGATTTCCACATGTTTTCAAATGTTTTCCTAATTTTTTTCCCATGGATTTTCCATATTTTACCCGTCCACTTGGTGGCCAATTTGCCATGATCCATGACCTGAGGTCTTCGGCTGGACGGATGTCTTGGTGTCCGTGACCGACACAGGGAGTGGCGGCCTGCGGCTGGCCACTGGGAGAAGTTTCGGTGATTGCGGCTGTCAAAACTTCCGTTGAAATTCCACATGATTGGGGAAGTGGATTCTGATGGATTATGATTATTGGGGAACTGGATCCTCAATTATGTTGGATTATGATTCTGATGGATTATGATACATATGATTGATATTGGTTAAGACCTGTTTGAACGATTTTAGACGATCTAATGGGCAAAACGCAGGTGTTTGTCTTGAATACCCACATCCCTTCTATCAAAGAGCTCCTCCAGCTCCACCCTGGGGTATTTGGGGGTTATGTTTTCTGGTTTTTCGAACATATTGGCTGTTGATATCCGAAAATTTGATGGCAAAACCATGTGGATGTGGGTCAAAATTTAGTCTAGTTTAGTATTAACCATCCAATTATTGGGGTACCTAATTTTGATCCATACCCATGTGAAACCACCAATTTCACCATGTCAGGGGGATGGGAATGGCAATGGCATGGCCCCAGCCAGCTCCATTGCACATCGAGGCGTCGTCCTTGCGGCTCTTTCGACTGCTGCGGGTGGTGCGGAGCATTCGGGGCATCAAGGTGTTGGCAGGCGCAGAAAATGGGATAAAATGGGGTATGCCTGGGGTGTTGACTGGGAAAAGTTGGAGGAAAACATCGTAAAATTGTGATGAATCAGCATTGTTGTTTGTATTTTTTGACAAAACCAATAATTATATATATATATATATGATTGTATGTGGATTTGTTTACAGAACCATTCAATGGATAGTTGAATGGGTGATAGGAGGAATATCCTATCCTTTCCGACTAGTTGACTAGGCCATCTTTGTTTACAGTACCTTGCTAAGTCTGTCAAGTCATTTTTGGTCTGTAGCGGAAGTATTGACATTTGATGACATGAGATAGCTGACCTCCTCATCAATGGAATGGAGGGTCGAATTTACATTCAAATCACTGGTTGGTGGTTTGGAACATTTTTTATTTTTCCATATATTGGGAATAATCATCCCAACTGACTTTCATATTTTTCAGAGGGGTAGGTTGAATCCACCAACCAGATCATCGATGGTTAAAATTACATGCTTCACATGGGTTGCGAGAGAGTCTCCTGTGACCACCCTGACAGGTCTTTGGGTAGTAATCCAGGGTCTTCTGGACTCCTATCGCACAGTGCTTTGGGTAGGCAGGGCCTTTTTTCTTGTTGGGAACGGCTGCGGAGCTTTTATCTGCAGCGAGCTTGGATGAAACGCCGCGCCAAGACTCAAGACGATGATTTTCCTTGGCCTGATGCCACAGACTGAAAAGATAGGTTTGCTATCATATCAGTGAAAATGGATTTGATTCGATGTGATAGGATAATCGTCCTGAATATGATTAAATGCGATATATGATATATTATATTTAAGAACAGACACGATATGATATGATAATATGATCTTCGCATACAAACTGTCATCTGAGCCACTTTCTATGTCCCCACTTTTTGGTGATTGTTCCTTAATCCAACCCAATCCCTTGCCCCGTCGCGCCAGCTTTTGCGGCAACTTGATTGAAGATAAGGGGTGGGACATGGTCAAGTACTCTGGGGCAAAACTAACATGGATGGTGGAACATACCATATTTATACATATTTATACATAGATGGTGTTCCTCAGGAAGCATTTTTTTCCACATCGAATTGTTAGTTTACCTACATAGCTACATATGGGTACATGCCTTATTTCGCCCATATTGGGGGAATCAATCCCTACGGAGATGGTCGCTGAGAGGGTTCCATTGATCATCGGCCACAGCTGCTCAAAGGCAATCCTTAGGATGATAAATCATGATAAATCCATTTGAACACTGTTGTTCTTCCTGAGCTGATGGGTGACTATGAACGGCTTGTATTCTTGGGTTGAACCCAGAGGAACCCAGAGGAAGGGGCGATTCCGCGCTGCGCCCGCTGCGCCCGCTGCGCCCGCTGCGCCTAGATGTGGATCTTTATCTTCTGCTTTGGTGCAGCGCTTTGTGTCTTGGATCCTTGGTGAAAACGGACACACCATGGCTTTCTCGGGGACACCGATACCAGATACCCCAGAAACCATCGGTCCCAGTGGCCCATTATTTGTTCCGAAACCATAAATTGGGGGGTCAACCAGGGGTTGGTAACTGTCCCATTTTGGGTATATTGGACATCACCTTATAGTAGCCACTATAGACCATATACCTAATGGTTGGGTGATGTTCAATGGGGATATTTAATGACCCATGTCAACCGTTTTTTGAACTCACATCTGTATACATCCACAATTCGGCTGAGGGTGGCCAAGATCGCTTTGCCTTTGAGTATTGGTACATGGGCCACAAGTACGTGGGCTCAGTTCTGAGAGCGATGCTGACGATGTTGCAGGCTGGACATCTGCCATGGTGGGCTGAAAGAAACCTTGGGTGGTTGCGAAATCCTTCAGTTCATAGGTGGTAAACTGGCAAACATCCCTAGTGACTAGTGTTTTAACCATCCAAAGTGCTGCAGGATTTCTGAAAAAACACTGTATACTACTTATCCAAAGGAATCTGCCAGTGAAAAGGTTTGGTTGAACATCCTCCGAGACCCTCAGCCTACCTTAGCCCTATGCAACAGCCCCTGATATGATATTTATGGAACATGTTCTGGATTTAACTGTTGATTTAACAAAAAACATGGGTTTGGATATAATTCTTATACTATAATACTGTGTAATCCATACATATATATATATAATTATATATATATCCTATGATAATTTATCAGTTGCTGTTCTTTCTCTTTGTCGATTGCCCTCCGCTAATTTGATATAGCCATGGACAATCACCATTTTCAAAATTAATAGATTATCGAAGTAAATGGGCCGTTTATACCATGGCTATGTTACACCACCAGAGCGTTTTTTTTTTTTTAAATATCATATTCCCATTATATCATATTATATCATCATATTGGTTACATTCCATGTATCATACCATGTATCATCCTATCATATTCTCATGAAATATCGTATTATATTAGTTACATAACATCCCATAACAATATGACATAACAGGACATAACATCCCATACTCGTAGCAGTGATATATGTATATATATATATTCTCTACACATCTTAGTTACATTACATCCCATAACAGTTCATAACCGGTTGGTGCTTTGGAACATTTTTTTTTATTTTTCCATATATATATATATAGGGAAAAATCACCCCAACTGACCTTCATATTTTTTTAGAGGGCTAGGTTGAAACCACCAACCAGATCACATCCCAACGACATCCCAACAGGTGGCCACCTTTGACCGATGGGCTGAGACGGTGGCGCGGCCGCTCTTTCACGTGCCTTGGATATCTTGGATGCCGGATCCAGGTGCAGTTAGGGTAATGTGGGTAAAACAATAATAAACCATCATAATAATTGATGGTATCATAGATAGATGGTATAAACCATAAATAGATGGTATCATAAATAAACCATCTATTAAACCAAATCACCAGAAATGGGTGGTATAAACCATCAAACATGGGGTGGTTTATGGCATCGTTTTACCCACATTAATAGAGGATTTTCCATTAAAAGAATGGGCTTTCCATTAATAAATGCTGTAGATGGTATAAACCATTCCCAAATGGGTGGTTTATGGCATGGCTTTACCCACATCAATGGAAAACCCTACTGAAAACGAAAACACGTCAATGTTCATACTAGTTATATAACAAAGAATCATTTAGACATTCCCTTCCCCCCCAACATTAAACACCCCCTAGAAGCTATGGTGGATGTAGGGAATTTCCACATTGGGACGATAGAATGGGGATGTTTAAATTGTGGAACGCACCCACCATTTGTAGATCATTCTCCGAAGGGGTTTCCCCATGGGTTTTCCACATCTATGTTTGTTGGGGATATATAATATATGGTGATTAATGGTGATTAATGGTGATTATCCCATGGTGATCGCCTAGGTGATTCATGGTGATTTTCATGGTGAATGGGGATTTAACCATATTTCACCAGCGGCAAGTGGTTAATCATGGGTAGTCCTAGAAACACAGGTGATCGTTGGTGATCGATGGTGATTACCCTCTGGTAAACTAACAGTTTGCTATTGAAAATGGCCATTGAAATAGTCAGTTTTCCCATTAAACATGGTGGATCTTTCCATAGTTACGTAAACGTTTACCAGAGGGTAGTGATTGATGGTGATTCATGGGTCATTCAATGGGGGATTCATGGGACTTTTCCAATTTTTCCCGAGAGCGTCTGAGCGAAGGGTTCTTCTAATAGTGGGGGTCTGTCAAACATTTTCACATCTTCACATCTTCACATCTGCTCATCTTCACATCTTCACATCTTCACATCCTCACATCTTCACATTTTCACATCTTCACATCTTAACATCTTCACATCCTCACATCCTCACATCTTCACATCTTCACATCTTCACATCTTCACATCCTCACATCTTCACATTTTCACATCTTCACATCTTCACATCTGCTCATCTTCACATCTGCTCATCTTCACATCTGCTCATCTTCACATCTTCACATCTTCACATCCTCACATCTTCACATTTTCACATCTTCACATCTTCACATCTTCACATCCTCACATCCTCACATCTGCTCATCTTCACATCTTCACATCTTCACATCCTCACATCTTCACATTTTCACATCTTCACATCTTCACATCTTCACATCCTCACATCCTCACATCTTCACATCTTCACATCTTCACATCTTCGCATCCTCACATCCTCACATCTTCACATCTTCACATCTGCTCATCTTCACATCTGCTCATCTTCACATCTTCTCATCTTCACATCTTCACATCTTCACATCCTCACATCTTCACATTTTCACATCTTCACATCTTCACATCTTCACATCCTCACATCCTCACATCTTCACATCTTCACATCTTCACATCTTCGCATCCTCACATCCTCACAACATCTTTCACATCTTCACATCTTCACATCTTCGCTCCTCACATCCTCCCATCTTCACATCTTCACATCTGCTCATCTTCACATCTGCTCATCTTCACATCTGCTCATCTTCCCATCTTCACATCTCACATCCTCACATCTTCACATCCTCACATCTTCACATCTTCGCATCCTCACATCCTCACATCTTCACATCTTCACATCTTCGCATCCTCACATCCTCACATCTTCACATCTTCACATCTGCTCATCTTCACATCTTCACATCTTCACATCTTCGCATCCTCACATCCTCACATCTTCACATCTTCACATCTTCGCATCCTCACATCCTCACATCTTCAAATTTTCACATCTTCACATCTTCGCATCCTCACATCCTCACATCTTCACATCTTCACATCTTCACATCTTCGCATCCTCACATCCTCACATCTTCACATCTTCACATCTTCGCATCCTCGCATCCTCACATCCTCACATCTTCACATCTTCACATCTTCACATCTTCGCATCCTCACATCCTCACATCTTCACATCTTCACATCTGCTCATCTTCACATCTGCTCATCTTCACATCTGCTCATCTTCACATCTTCACATCTTCACATCCTCACATCTTCACATTTTCACATCTTCACATCTTCACATCTTCACATCTTCTCATCCTCACATCTTCACATCTTCTCATCTTCACATCTGCTCATCTTCACATCTGCACATCTTCACATCTTCACATCCTCACATCTTCACATCTTCACATCCTCACATCTTCACATCTTCACATCCTCACATCTTCACA